CTCTTCTTGTTCCTTTCCTCTCCAACTTCCCTCTCTCTCGAATCTTCTATCATCAGTTTACTCATTTCCTTTCCCGTTCTTCCTTTTTTTTTTCCTCTGTTTTTTTTCCTTTTCTCTTTTTTTTTTTTCTTTTTCTTTCTTTCTTTTTTTCTTTTTTTTCCTCTTATTTATACTCTGCCTACCACGCATCCCATCTCATCTCCTGACCGTCCATCCCATCTCCCCATCTACACGCATCCTAACCGTCCATCCCATCTCCCCATCTACACGCATCCTAACCGTCCATCCCATCTCACCATCTACCCTCCTCCTAAACGACGCCATTCACTCCTCTCTCTCTTCCCTATATATTTATATTATTATTATTATTACCATGTATATATACATTAGTAAATTATGAAATATTGTTGAGAAACATACTTTTTTTTGTGAGGTTCATTTGGGATGGTTTTGGCTCCTACTAGTGTAAGGTTCCTTGTTGGCTGTTTTGATTATGGCGTTAATAATCTTTTTTAAAAAATTAGACCAATATAAAAATATAGTTGAATAACAGTAGTAAAATAGGTAAAATTTTATTTTAATGAAAGAATGAGATTAATTTAATTTTTAGAAGATACATAAACTTTTCTAATTTCATTTTACTTATTATTTCTGAAATACTTTTTAGGTATTTTAAAAGCACAGTTAAATTAAATAGATTCTACAGCCGTAGAAGGTTTGCTTCAAATTTAATGAATTTTATTCTTATTATCAAAACCAATGGAAATTTCTTCCAGAAAAACTGAGTATTTTTAAAATTTTGGACATTATTCTCGATCCATTTTTAGTTCTAACAATAAATAATTACCCAAAAAAAATTAAAATATATTTCTGTTTAGTTTTTTCTGTTCCCATTCCAACTCCACTATATATATATATATGTACACACAATACGAGGAGAAGAACACAATTTAGATTTTTGTATCAGGCACTCAAAAGATAGAAGTCAAAACCCGGGAAGATGGTTTCCAAGTATTGGATATTTTAGAAGAATAAATTTTATTTGAAAATAAATTAACGTGGGGATTAGTAGTTGGCAGTCCCTATAAAAAAAACACATATTTTCGTCCTGTTTAAGCATACATGGGCCCCAGGAATCGACATCATCTTCAAGTTAAATCCAACTTTCTTCTCTCCAATAACTTAAGTGTCGGTCGGTTGGTGGATTGCTCCTGATAAAATAAAAGAGAATAAAGAAAAGAAAGGAGAACTGCAATGTAAATACATTGTTTTCAATTCACATGTCAGATAGTAGTAGAAACAGTATGAAAACGTAAAAGTTTTGTTGGTCTCCTTTCTTATTTAATTTTTAGTTAACTATAAGTTTAATTTTAATTTTAAATATACCACTAAAATGTAGTTCACTAAGTTTGATTCTTCACCGTTTTAAGATTTTTCTTTCATAGATACAACTCAGACATAATTTATTGTGGCTGAACTTTTATTATAAAAATATGAAGTGTGAATTGTTTTTTTTTTTTTTTTTGAAAGTAAGTGTAAATAGTTGTAACTTGAACATGATATTTTTGGATGACATGATATCAAAATTATATGAAAAAAATCAGTGTTGATAATTGAATACAAAATAAAGTAAACATAACTCTCGGAACTAAAAACACCAAAAGATAAAAGACAAAATAATTGGGAAAAAGTATAAACTAGAATAATAAGTAGTTATTTTGACGACGAAGAATTGGAATATAATGGACATGATTTGTACCTGATCCTTTTTTATCGTGGACATGATTTATACCTGACCCTTTTCTATAGAGCAATTATGGTAGTAATCCACTGGCCGAATGGGCTCGATTTGATAAAGAGTAAATGTCAATGGCCCCGTGAGCTTAAAGAATAGTCACCTCGATGTTCTTGACTTGGGGATTTTAAGAAATATTTCTAGTTATTAAGCTTTGATAAACTCAGAAGTATTAATATTATGGAAAAAAAAACAATATAACACGATGGAAATTAAATTAAATAGAACGAAAATGATTTATTTATTATTCTATTTCAACATAAGTTGGGTGAATTTTTTATTTCTTGGACCAATATATTTGACATGTGTGCCATGGCTTAAGTTGAACATTTATCTTTTTATAGTTCTACTTGAGTAGTCACATTATGGGAATGTGAAACTGTATGAACTTCTCCATATTTTTTTCTTTTTTGATTTATTAATTGAATTTATGATGCATTAAAATGATAAAATTTTTCTTGGCCTCTGATAAGATAAAGGATTTGATCCTGTGGTTTCTTGCTTTAATACATATTCACCATACACATGCATACATGTATGGAGTTTATTATTTTTTATTTTTTATTTTTATTGTTTATTTTTTGGCGAAACAGAACCGTTGTGTAAACATGATAGCTCACCTCTTCAATGCGCCACTTGGAGACTCCGAGGCAGCAGTTGGCGTAGGGACAGTGGGATCATCCGAAGCAATCATGCTTGCTGGATTAGCCTTCAAGCGAAAGTGGCAGAACAGGAGAAAAGCCGAGGGAAAACCCTATGATAAGCCCAACATTGTTACAGGTGCAAACGTTCAGGTATACCCCTGAGATTAGCAAGTTACTGCCTTGTGATCTGGGTTGATTTCTTTTCATGCTATATTTATTAAAAGTAAATATAGTTTTCGTACTGTAATTTCCTTCTTTTCTTAATCAAATGTAAAAAGTAGTAGTATACGTCCTACACCAGGATTCTATACTCTTCTTTATTCTTGTAAGTTATTACGAGTTTTAACACGTTCTCTACTTGGTTTGTTGAATAATTTTATGAAGGTGTGCTGGGAGAAATTTGCAAGGTACTTTGAAGTGGAGCTGAAGGAAGTGAAGCTAAGAGAAGGATACTACGTTATGGACCCTGCCAAGGCAGTTGAGATGGTTGATGAGAACACGATCTGTGTGGCTGCAATTCTGGGCTCCACACTTAATGGAGAATTTGAAGATGTAAAACTTTTGAACGATCTCCTTATCGAGAAGAACAAAGAAACTGGGTATTCATCTCATCATTATCTCCTTGCATGTGAATCTAAACACCTTCTGAGAGAAGTTTCTTTATTTACTCAAGATCATTTTAGATTTAGGAAGAATTGGGTACCAGAGACACGTTCTCACATAAGCTGGTTAAAGAATTAACAAATAATTAATTATATCACATGCTATCATAATGGACTCTCTTCTCCCTTGTTCTATCTTAATTAAGGTTTGATGCAAGCCTATGAAGCTGATCAATCTCTAACCTGTGTTCTGATTTGCACCTGGTCTTTATTGAGGCTTATATTAGAAAATTCATGCAAAAGCTCATCCAATTTCTGACTTGCATTTTTCTGTATCTTAAGTTCTGTCCATATGCTGTGCTATAAACATTCTAATTGTACATAAAGGAGTTTATGAGTATTATTAAGGGTATACCTATGGGTTATGCACGCATTTGTTTACAAAAACGTCATCAAGCAATCATGCAGAAACTTATAGAGACTAGCATTTTGTTTTTGTAGATGGGACACTCCAATTCATGTTGACGCAGCAAGTGGAGGCTTTATTGCTCCATTCCTGTACCCAGAACTGGAATGGGATTTCCGGGTGCCATTAGTGAAGAGTATTAATGTCAGTGGCCACAAGTATGGACTTGTCTACGCTGGGATTGGTTGGGTCATCTGGAGGAGCAAAGACGACTTGCCTGACGAGCTAATCTTCCATATCAACTATCTGGGAGCTGATCAACCCACCTTCACCCTCAACTTCTCTAAAGGCATCTATCCAACTTCAGAATTCTCTTAGTTTCTAAACCGATCATCTCCTGCCTGCTTCCGTAAATAATATGTATATAATTAACTAATTACTTAATAATTAAGCCTTGTGATTTTTAATGTTGCAGGTTCCAGTCAAGTCATTGCCCAGTACTACCAACTCATTCGCTTGGGTCATGAGGTGAGTGCAACAGTATTACCTAATCAACAATATAGATATTTCTTAGAATCTCATCATGAACCTTGATTCAAGTTAATTGTGCCCGAAACATCAAAAGGATAAGGACTTGCAATGACTTATATAGGAACTGCGCGAACCATTATTGGGTATTAGAGTCAATTGTATTATAACCTCGTAGCTTAATCTCGCTTGGCCTTTTCTGTTCACGTACATTCTCTAACTGTATGATTTTGTTTTAGAATCTAAATATTTATAATAAAATAGGATAAATAGAACCTCATGCACAATTATGTCCTAAATGAGCAACTCACATTAATTTTTCTTCGGAATAACAAAAGATTTATTTGTGTTAAACCCAGGGGTACAAGAATGTCATGGAAAACTGCCGGGACAACATGATAGTCCTCAAGGAAGGATTGGAGAAAACAGGACGCTTCGACATTGTCTCCAAGGACAATGGAGTCCCATTAGTAGCCTTCTCATTGAAAGACAACGGCCGCCACGATGAGTTCGAGGTGTCTGACCTATTGCGAAGGTTCGGTTGGATCGTGCCTGCCTACACCATGCCTCCGGATGCCCAACATATAACAGTTTTGCGCGTGGTTATCAGAGAGGACTTCTCCCGCACACTTGCTGAGCGCCTTGTCACGGACATCGAGAAAGTCTTGCACGAGCTTGATATTCTGCCGGCCAAGATCAGCGCCAAGCTGGCTCTTGAGGCCGAGGAAAATGGAAAGAAGAAGACTGATAAACAGAGACAGCTGGAGGTCACCCTTGCTTGGAGGAAGTTTGTGCAGGACAAGAAGAAGATGAATGGTGTCTGTTAGACATATATATATATATATATATATATCCGTCTTCATGAAGGATGCCTCGTCTTTTTCGCGATCTAGGTGTGGGTAATTAATACGAATTTTATGTTTTCGTCTTACATATTACTGAGATTTTAATTATGTAAAAGAAAACTTTAGTTAATTTCTGTCAAATAAGTGATATTTTATGTGTATGCTTGATTAGATTAGTAATTGTTGTTACCTTAAAAATAATTATCCTTTCACTAAATTATCAGTTTTGTCTATGAATTATGGATTACTTTGCAATTGAATTTTAAATTTTTTTATATTATAACTTAATTTTCAAATTTAGAAAATTATTTCATTATACATTTTCTATTAATTTTTTTTTTTTTACAAAAATAACAAAATTTCTTCTTTTGTTATTTGAGTAATTAAAAAAATTATTTTTACTCAAAAAATATATATAAATGATTTAAAATCAATATATTGTTAGAGTTTAAACTTTTTTAATTCTATTACCTTCGTTTGTATTAATTAAATAAAATAAATTATTTATTTTTATTAAATTTAATCTTTAGTTGCTACTTCCAAACTCAAGTAAAAATGTAACGGCCCCGTAAATATTAAAATGAAATGAGTATTTAAATATATCAAATGCGGAAGCGAGATCAAAATTTCAGTTAACATCCCTTACACGAAAAACCAGAAACGTACTTAAAATATAAAAGATTAAACTAACTAAGAGAGAAACTCGAAAATAAAACTATGAGTATGACTACAGAGTCTCTAGGTATCCCCTTCGTCATCCTCCTGCGGAACGGGCTCGGGAACCATGTCTTCCTGATCTGAAATGGTTAAATAAGGAGTGAGCTACACTAGCCCAGTAAGAACATCACGATATCTCACCGTCACGGAGGTAAAGGTGGGTAGAAAAACACAAAAGACCAATGGAGCATAATTTACAATAAAACCTTTTATCAATAATAAAACTTTTACCATCCACTTACCTTGGTGGAATTTATGAAAACAATATGAGAAAAACAATAACATCATCATAATCATTGAATAATCTAAGCTGTAAAACATAACACTTATCACGCCTCTTGTAATTCAATCATTGTACAACATATCTTTTTCTCATTTACCAGCCTACTAGTATCCGTGGGGGTCCATAGGAGTTCCGCTACCCGTTAACCTTTAACATTCATAATCAGTTTCCAGGGCCGTCCCCATACCCCGTCCGGTATGGGCGCCAAAACCATAAACCTCAATACCCCGTCCGGTATGAGGGTGAAACGGGCCGTCCCCATACCCCGTCCGGTATGGGCGCCAAAACCATAAGATCTCCATACCCCGTCCGGTATGAGGGTGAAACGGGCCGTCCCCATACCCCGTCCGGTATGGGCGCCAAAACCATAAGATCTCCATACCCCGTCCGGCATGTGAGACCACAATCCCGGTAGGGTTCCCTACGGACCCGGTCCGTCAACCATCTCCCAGGATATCTAGTCAGGCTGACCCCCATAATACAATTATCAGTTTACACAATCTTTCATTTTTCCTTTTCCTCAATCAGCATCATCAATTCACTATTAAACAAGCAAAACGGTAATTTATGCCAAACAGACAATATATAGCA